CAATTTGTTGATGCTTTAATGGTTAATTCCTATTTTAATTCCAATCTTATTGGGTTATTTTATGATTGATTACCATATAATAGCTTTGTAATTGAGTTCATTACATAGGAAAATTTGAATGATCGAGTCTTGTACCTATGCCGGGTAACAAGAGAACTAGTTACGGTTCTTGTAATTAATTATCACAAATAACCGGAATAGATACCATGTTCTAGGATTTGTGTGTTTGTCGATTTCCATTGTTTTATGCCTTCTCCTAAGTGCAACTTAGTAGATACCATGCTAAATACTTCGAGAATGAAAAGAGTTAGAGTAGACACCCATGCCTAATTCGTTGTTTAGGAAAATCAATAACTTAAAGAGTAGATATCATGCCTTTACGTTGACAAATGTTAAGCATCTAAATTGTCTTGTATCATCGTGTGTATCGATTGCTTAGACGAAAAAGATTAGAGATGGAAACCAAAGTCCGAACCGTTCAAGCATTGTTTTCAAAACCCTTATTGCCAATTACTTTTATTTGCCTACGTTCTTTATATTGTGTTTTTATACTTTTAAATTTAAGACATCTCAAACTATTTGGTTAAATCATTTTTGTGCATATTTGATAGATTTTGTGAAAGAATTCATTCAAATTGTTAGGAATCATAACCTAGACACATATTAGTGCAATCCTCATGGGAATGATCTCGTACTTGCTTTCTATACTATGTATTTGATCTTGTGCACTTGCGAGTTTAAAACCTGCAATTAGTAGCTTAATATCTAGGTTGCTAAATGCATAACATGAACACCAAAGTGGTGTACTGGATCCATACCAGTTCATGAAAGAGTTCCTTTTACAGAAAGGAGATGTGCCGATTTCCATAAGTTTGGCATTTGATGAAATATGCCAAATGCCGTTGGATTTTTCTAATAAAGGGAATGCAATGGTTTGTTTGATTCTAATCATACACACCCATGAAGGTTTCCTTTACGAAGAAATATAATAAATGTGTCAAGCAATTTGTGAGAAGCGAACTCATGTGAATTCCTCATCTTTCCAAGAAAGCCATGCTTGGAACTTTTTGAAGGTGCGAATTTCTCAAGGGTCATGAAAATATGCAATTAGTTGTTGTGGGGATTTTATGTTTGTTGGTACCATATTATATTGGGCCTCGTTACTTGGGCTTTCAGACATTGAGCCCATGATTCATGTAAAATAGGAGGAGCCCTTAGTCTATAAAAGGGCCTCCTCACCCTCACAATCCGAAGGAGTCTCATCCTCACATACAAGCCACAAAGTTCACAGAGAAACTCTCCCAAAACTCTCTCTTTCTCTAGGGGACTCCCCCTTACACTTGTAATCCATACATTCATACAGAGAAATACAATCAACATCAGTATGGACGTAGCCCAAACATTGGGGTGAACCACGATACATCTTGTGTTCTTTGCTTTCTTGCAGATTCACCATCGGATTTACGTTGTTCCAAGACTCCTCTGGTTTTGTGAATCAACAATGTTTATTTAAAATTATTAGAGTTAGTTTTCTGATTAACGTTGGTTTCCTATTTTTATGGAAAAAATCTTTTCTTAAACTGCAAGATTTTATATTGATTTGGGAGACCTATTCTTTCTCAACAAAGTGGTTTTACTCCCTTGTTTTATGGCCTGATTTCTTGGGCGTGATCAGCTCAACTACTTCAACGTTAAAGTCTTGCAATTGTGTATAAATACTAGGGTTTTCTGCTACGTAAAAACAGACTGAGAAAAACTAAGAAAAACTAGAAGAACTTGAGTATAAGAGTGGTGAAAGCTTTGGATCTTCTTCAGTGCAAAGGAAGGTCTACATAGAGGTGTTTTCTGGGCTGTTTTATCCTGGGGACGTTATGGTATTTTAGACTGCTTGCACAACTTGGACAGAGCCGCAAAACATCTTAAAAAAAATGACATTGTCCGCGACTCAACCCAAAGTAAAGTCTGCAATATTTGTTTTCCTGGTAACTTCGTTATTTATTTTGAATTTGTGCAGTACCCTCAACAGTTGCATTATTCGGAAATTTATGAGCATGCAGTCACTCGGTTGTATAATGCATTGGTATATTTTTGGGCATCCAAATTGATATGGCCAATTAGTCATCTTTGTAGGGATGCAGCCCATCAGGAACTCTTGATGAAATGTCATGTTGATAAGAATGATGTTTATAAAGTTTTACGAGTTATTTCAGAGAATGATGTAACTTGACGGACGAAGTTTTGCCTTGCTTCATGATTTAGCCTTGTTGATGGCAATGGACTTCGAATTCTGGCAACAAAAGAAGGGTTGTCCTTAGTGAACTCATTTCAGATGAGATATCAGTTAAAACTAGGTGTAATGGCAAAGAGCTTGACAGGAACAAAAGCACGACAACTTCAATATGCAGGGAGACTATTTCTTATAGAATTAGAAAACAATCATGGCTATTAAATAGCCTTAAAAACAAACTGAATGGAAATAACAACCACGACTTTACGGTCCTAGAATCATGGAGAAAGATTAAGTCCAAAACAGAAGATAACATGTTCCTTAAGACTAGGGATTATTATGCATGGCTTCAAACCACTACGACCTAGAAACAAGGAAAACCTAACCCTATACGCTAGGAGATCTTAACAACTTTAACAATATCATTCTTTTGGGAAGGCGATGATTGGATTGTGAGCGCCAAGACCCATGTTGAATGAAATGACGATATACGAGAAAAGTGTGGGGGTCTTTTGGAAATGAAAAGACTAGACACTAAATTGTGAGCGCCAATATCTCCTACAATGAATGACTTTTTAAGGTATGCAGAGGTTAGAGATCTTCTTACAAATACCTAAATGTGGGGGAAGTTTACTTCCAAGTGTTCGCAAATTATTGAATAAGTCCTAACTTATGTTTTGAATACTTAACATTGAAAAACAACTACTCTCGTATGAAATATAGTTTCATAACATGAATTGTGCACACCATTTAAAATAGTCAACCTACTAGTGGATCCAATTATTAAGGATCAGACCAGAGAGTAAGTTGATCATCGAGGAGAATGAGGCTACAACCAATATAACTAATGAATCAGCCGGACGGAATCCTAACTTAGTTGATTGGAGATCCCATGGTCGATATAAGTTCAATAGGAAAACTGGTTGGGCATGATTCAAATAAATTAACACACTATATATACCTCATTCTTATGATGGAAGAAGTGTGTTGTTTGCAGAAGTTTTAGGGTGTATATTTATAGTTAATGACACTGACATCTTACAATAAATAAGAGGAATAGAACAGACTATTCTTAATCAGTGGTCACCTATGTGAGGTTAGAAGTGGGTCGCTTCTATGAGAATGAGATGGCTAAATTCTCTAAAACTCTCATGAAACCGGGATTTGTTCAAGACCAAAATGAACACAACAGTATGAACTTTAATATATTAGGATTAGTGATGTCATTTCTATCGTTCCAAATATCCCAGCAAACCATTGCAAACAATTCTAACTCCTCCCTAAACCAAAATTTCCTTTATGCCCCTCCAATTATTTTTTCAACTATCATTTAACTGCTTAATCCACGTCCCCAAATAACTGTTGTTGAGCATAATCCCGTATCAATGCCCTAATGTCAATGGTGGTCTGGATAACAAAGCAAGGGCATATTAGTCATTATACTTGCTACCTAAAACCCCCCAGCTTTCCTCAGCTGCCTTTTGCCATGTTGTCCAAAAACAAAACACCTATTGCCATAAATAGCATGCAAACCCACCCACCCTCTCCCCCTCTCTCTCTCTCTCCCTAAACTCTTTCTCTTCCCCCCTCCCTAAAACCTCACAAAAGCGCACAGTCGGCGTACGGACTGTCTCATCGCCGCCGCGGCCAAGGTCGCAATGCCGACCCTTTTCATGACTCCGACGCCCCGCCGTTTAGTCGGAGTGGAGGAGACCGTGGTCGAGGACGAAACCTCCAACCTCAACGGGCCATAGGCAGCGCGGTCCAGGAGTCGTCGTCGCTACGGAGACGACCAATACTAACTCTCCACCATCGATGGCTCAAATACCCGGTCCTCGCGGACCAGCGCTAGCTCAGGCGGCCTCCAGCTCGGCGCCTCCTCCTGCTGAGTCTCCACTGGGATGGAGCAGAAACTGACGTTGACAGCTCCGCCACCGTCGTCGTCGGAGGTCATTCGGTATGCTCTGAGGGCTGGTTTCGGAACGGCCTGATACGAGGATCCGGGTGGGGGTGCTGCGAGAGGTCTCCGTTACCAGTACGATGTAAGCCTCCCTTTCGTTCTTTCTGCAGTGTTCCCTTTCGTTCTTATTGTTCTGTGTTTATGTTCATCTGCATTCGTACTCTTCAGGTTTCCCTTTTCAAATTTAAATTAAAAATTTGTATTTTATTTTCTGAATTTTGCTTTTGCCTGTTTTTTTTAGTTTTTATTCTTCGGTTTTTGGAAACCGCTCATGGCGTTTTGGGACCCAAAAATCATTTGAGGTTTTCAAAACGCCTTTCTGATTCCAAACGATGATGAAGAGCAAACAACTATTAATTGATGTTTCCCAAAACCTATTTCTCTACCGTTTTGTAAATCTGAACCAGGAATATGTTCATCTAAAAGGTGTTGGGTTGGGAAAAAACTTTTGATGTTTCTCAGAAGCTGGGATTCTGAGAAATAATTTTCATGCCATCATAAGCTGGGATTCTGTTGCCTAGGCGAGACTCCTTGTAAAGTTTTAGGAGCTGATTAATGACATCGAGACTCCTTGTAAAGTTTTAGGAGCTGATTAATGACATCCTGTTGATCTTTTCCGATGCAACTTCAGGGTAATCTACAGCCACCAAGTGAAATTGTAAAACACCACACAACAGATAACGAAAAAAACAAGAACAATACCAACGGTTTACCAAGAAAACAGAGATTCAGAAAATGCCAAAGGAAAGACGTTCTTCCCAGAAAACATTTCTGTGTCATAAGTACTGAATATATATATATATATGTAGCAAAAGAAAACCAAGACCTATTTCACCGAAACTTTCATCAATAGGTTTCTGCTTGGTACTCAGAAACGTGTTTTAACGTGTTCTGAGAAACATCAAAAGTTTTTTCCCACCAACACCTTTTAGATGAACATTCCTGGTTCAGATTTACAAAGACGTTAGAGAAATGGGTTTTGGGAAACATCAATTAATAGTTGTTTGCTCTTCATTATCGTTTGGAATCAGAAAGGGGTTTTGAGAATCTCAAATGATTTTTGGGTACCAAAACGCCATGAATGACTACAGTTTCCAAAAACCGAAGAATAAAAACTAAAAAAAAAGGCAAAAGCAAAATTCAGAAAATAAAATACAAATTTTTAATTTAAATTTGGAAAGGGAAACCTGAAAAGTACAAATGCAGATGCACATATAAACACAGAAAAATAAGAACAAAAGGAACACTGCAGAAAGAAAGAAAGGGAGGAAACTCAAGTGCTGGATGTTGCTCTGAAGGCCGCACCTCCATAAAAGTAAAGTCTCCGTTTGTTAGAAAAACATAGGTTTTACTTTGGCCTTGTACGTGTTGTTTCCTTACTAGTGACAGTTTGAGCGTTGTCATTTCTATCACAGGTACTCGTCTTTCGCCACTGAGCTTGGGCAGAAAGGTGGTGATCTTGGTGAAGGTCAGGAATACTGGAGAGGGTTTTCTCAGAGTCAGTTTGGGCTTTCGCTCAATATAGGTATAATTTTCCCTGTTTTGGTAACCATACAAAGTGAAGTAACAAAAGTGTTGTGACCTAACTCTTTCTATTCATATATTTGCAGATGTATTGGCCAGAGCAATTTATAAGCCTATTATGGTAACTGAGTTTGTCAAAAAACTTTTGAGCAACAGACAACTGTCAAGGCCTTTGCCTGATCGTGATCGTTTGAAGGTATTCGCCATTTTCGTTTCAATTTGTGGCATGCAGTTTTGATAGTTAACTTATCTAAAAGGAAAGCTATATAATCAAAAAACAATGTGATTCTGTTGAGTTGATAGTTTGTACTTAATTTCTACTTGTCTCAACAACAAAGTTCAAGCTATTTATACAAGTTATAGGTTATGTTTATGCAGATTTGCTTGCTAGTATTTATGTTCACTGGGTTTTGAAGATGCATTTAGTTTTAGCACGTAATCATTTGCTTTATTTTTAATTGACTAATATATTCAGAGTTCTGTGTATTTACTTATGTTTGTCCACAAATAGTTACTTAAAAATATTTTATTTAAGTAAAGCTGATTGAAATTCTGTTACTTACAGGAGAAAAAGCCCTTAAAGGGGGTCAAGGTACCGCTTTCTTATGAAGAGCATACCGGTTATGAAATCACTAGGGTGTCAGTTGAACCACAGAGCAAGTTGAAGTGACTCTTGTAATCTTTACGTTTATGCTAATGTATTGTTTGTATGTATATGGATTGTTGTGGTACTTGATTTGCTGGAAAAGAAAAAAAATCAAATTGAGTTATGATTGTATTCCATGGTAACAGAACATGGAAAATTCTCTCCCCTTGTTGATTCATAACTTATTATCCATCTCTGCATTTTAGGTTCACTCATGAGAGGTACAATATTGGGCTAAGAGATGTGGCAATGCCTGCGCTTCAAACTGGGAGGGATTCAAAACCTGTTTATTTGCCAATGGAGGTACCTGTACAGATGGTTAAACACAATGGTCACAATAAAGATGAGGTTATCCAACGGGAAATTGGAATGACTATAAGAGAAGATATGACTTTAGTTAATGCTCGTGTTCTGTGGCCGCCTTTGGTAATTATTTGTTTCCAATTTTGTTTGAATAGTGCAAGTGTTTTTTTACTCATTTTTTTTCCTTTGCTGGTGTTTGAATTGATGACAACGGCTGAAATACCATCACGCTGGTTGTGAGAACTCTGAAAATCCACGAATGGGGCAATGGAACATGATCAACAAAGTATGGTATTGGTTTTTAATGTGTTTTGACGGATCTGTGTGTTGGGACTTAAAAAGGCTTCACTACTTTGGAGATGTTTATCTCACAAAGAAGAATGAAATGCAGCGGAATTGATAAGCAAGAGAAAGAACACTCAAAGTGTTATACAAATTTTTTTTTATTCTCACACAAACTTAGTACAAGAGGAAACACTCAAACACTCTCACACTTCTTGCTCTCTTACTTGCTCTCACTTCTTCTTAGTTCTTACTTCACAACACACACACATACCTATATTTATAGGCATACTTTGCCGACTTCAATGATGCTAGAATTTTCTAGCATATTATTATACACACACAAGTTTACAATCAGCTAGACATTTCTAGCATGCACACCGACATTGTTTTTCATAATGTCCTCATAATTTTCTAGAACTTTCAAGTGCATGATTCATGCACATCCCACCGACTTACATAGCTGGAATTTTCCAGCTACTATTACCTACACAGATTGCTAGAATTTTCTAGCATTTGCACACATATTGACTTTGGGTTGGATCACTTGTCTTGGGCCTAAGACAAGATTACTATTCAACATCCCCCCTTAATCTTGTCTTGTGACGCCGATTGAGTTTCTCAGTCTGACAAAGTCTTCTTGCCTGAGTGGTTTGGTAAATATGTCGGCGACTTGGTCTTGTGACTTCACGTATTCCACTTGCACATCCTTTCTTGCAATGCACTCTCTTATGTAGTGATAACGAGTATCTATGTGCTTGCTTCTGTCATGGAATACTGGATTCTTTGCTAGGGCTATTGCAGACTTGTTGTCGACATAGATCTCTGTTGGTTCTTCTTGTGGCATGCTTAATTCTTTTAGCAAGTTTCTCAGCCAAATTGCATGACAGACACATGAGGTAGTAGCTACGTATTCAGCTTCGCAGGTAGAGAGAGTGACAATCGGTTGCTTCTTCGACATCCATGTGAATGCAGTGTCTCCTATGAAGAACACAAATCCAGTAGTGCTTTTTCTTTCATCGAAATCTCCTGCCCAGTCACTATCGCTATATCCAACAAGTTTGTAGTTACTAGAACTTGAATAGAACAAGCCAAAGTTAATGGTACCTTTAAGGTATCGAAGAATTCTTTTGGCTGTCTTCAAATGTGTAGTTGTGGGATCTCCATGTAGCGACTGACTAATCCGACGGCATAGAGAATATCTGGTCTTGTGCAAGTCAAGTAACGCAAGCTTCCAACTAAACTCTTGAAAAATGTTGGATCTACACTTTCTCCTTCGTCATGCTTGGTTAGTTTGACTCCGCACTCCACTGGCGTGCTTATGGGCTTGCAGTCGTCCATTTTGAACTTTTTCAGTATCTCCTTTGTGTAGCTTTCTTGGGAGATGAAAATACCTTCTTCGTTCTGCTTGACTTCAATGCCTAGGTAGTATGCCATCAACCCGATGTCCGTCATCTCGAATTCTTTGGTCATCACTCTCTTGAACTCTTCGAACATGCTTGGATTACTTCCGGTGAAGATTAGATCATCCACATATAAGCATACAATCAAAATATCTCCATGTTTGACTTTGACGTAGAGAGCATGTTCATGAGGGCACTTGGTGAAGTTGTTCTCATGGAAGTACTTGTCAATGCGACTATTCCATGCTCGTGGCGCTTGTTTTAACCCATAGAGGGCTTTCTTCAACTTCAAAACTTTATCTTCATGCCCTTTGATTTCATAGCCTGATGGTTGCTGAATGTAGACTTCTTCTTCAAGGACTCCATTTAGGAAAGCGGACTTCACATCCATTTGTTGAATCTTCCATCTGTTTTGAGCTACCAACGAAATTAGTAATCGTATAGTTTCCAACCGAGCAACAGGTGCAAATACCTCATCATAGTCGATTCCGGCTCTTTGACTATAGCCCTTCGCCACTAATCTCGCCTTGTATCTTTCGACCTCTCCATTGGCATTCTTCTTTGTCTTATACACCCACTTGACTCCGATGGCTTTGTGTCCTTTCGGAAGAATAGCGAGTTCCCATGTATCATTCTTCTGGATTGCTTCAATTTCTTCATCCATTGCTTTCCTCCACTTAGTATCTTGCACTGCTTCTTGGAAGTCAACTGGTTCACAATCAGCAAAGAGACAGAAAAGTGTAGGATTATCGAGTCTTTCAGCTACCTCATAAAGATCTCGTAGACTTCTTGTGCGTGGTACTTCTCTTTCATTTAGACTCCCACTTGATGATGCTGATGCTGGTGAATTACCATGATTGGTTGATGTTGGTGAAGCAGGTGGAGTAGTGGATTCTTGTTGAACCTCTCTTGCTTGCTCCATCATCCCTTGTTCATTATCTTCTTCAAACTGAGGAAAGAAGTGAAGATCACCTGCATGAGAGCAAAAATCCCATTCTCCTTCTTCATCGAACGTCACATCTCGACTGATCACCGTCTTCCCATTGTTTGGATTATACAACTTGTAGCCTTTTGAATTTGAGTCATAGCCGATGAAAATGAACTTCTCACTTTTGTCGTCGAGTTTGGTTCTCCTCTCGTCTGGTACATGTGCATGGGCTATGCTTCCAAAAACTCTTAGATGGGAAATACCTGGCTTTCTTCCACTCCATGCTTCTTGTGGAGTCTTTCCCCACACACTTCTTGTTGGAGACCGATTGGATAGGTAGACAGCACATGCTACAGCTTCTGCCCATAACTCTTTAGGTAATCTCTTACTTTTGAGCATACTTCGAGCCATGTCGAGGATAGTTCGATTTTTTCTTTCCGCCACACCATTTTGTTGAGGGGATCTTGGAACTTGTCAAAAAGGTCGACGAATTCCATTTTCTTCACAAAACTCTTGAAATTCCTTCGAAGTGAATTCTCCTCCTCGATCAGATCTCATGGCTTTGATCTTGCAACCACTTTCTTTTTCTACAGCGGCTTTGAACTTCTTGAATGCTCCAAAGACTTCTGATTTTTGCTTCAAGAAATACACCCAGGTTTTCCTTGAAAAATCATCAATGAAGAGAAGGAAATAATTATTTTTACCCAAAGAGCTTGGTTTTATTGGGCCGCACACATCGGTGTGAATGAGCTCGAGTGGCTTCTGGGTTCTTGTGGTCGACTCCTTTGGAAAGCTTTTCCTGAACTGTTTCCCAAGTAAACATCCTTCACAAACTTGATTAGGGTGGCTGATGCACGGTTAGCCTCTCACCATCTCCTTCTTAGATAATAACTCCAATCCCCCAAAGTTAGAATGCCCAAAACGAAGATGCCAAAGCCAAGATATGTCTTTGTAACAAATCTTGAGACACTTTGCAACATCGTTTTGAATGTCCATGGGAAACATCCTATTCTTTGACATTTTCGCCTTGGCAATTAATCTTCCTTTGTCATCTCTAAGAAAAAGGATATAATTTTTCGTATGAAAATCATAACCTTTTTCTAAGAGTTGACCCAAACTCAAAATGTTGCTTTTCATATTGGGCACGTAGTAGACATTTGAAATTAATTGGTGACCGCCATTTTTCAAGGAATAAGGATGTTACCTTTTCCTTTACAGGTATTTTGGATTCGTCTCCAAAAGAAACGTTGCCACTCACTGATTCATTGAGCTCTACGAACACGCTTCTTCTTCCACACATGTGGTTGCTGGCGCCGGTGTCAAGATACCATGTATAGTCTTGGTCTTTATCATTGTTCTTGCATGCTAGTAGCACAATGCCATTCTCTTCTTTATCTTCTTTCACATAATTGACCTTTTCATCAGGTCTGTTGCTTGGAGCTCTACATTCCCAAGCATAATGCCCAAACTTTTGACAATTGTAGCATTGAACTTGAGATTTTTCATACCTCAAATTTGAGCGCCCTCTTCCACGACCTTTTGTTGAGCTTTCTCCTCTATCGTAGTTGCTTTGGTTGTTGAAGTTCCAACCACGTCCATGTCCATATCCACGCCCACGTCCGCGACCTTGGCCATGACTTCTTTCGTATTGGCTTCTCTCGTTGTCGAAGCTTCCTTCTTTCTTCTTTGGCTGAACATGTGTCTTGAGGAGCTGCTCATCATTCCCTTGCCTCTTCTTATGTTTCTCTTCATATGCTTGTAGCGAACCCATTAATTGCTCTATACTAATTTCTTCCAAGTTCTTTGTTTCTTCAATCGTCACGACAATGTGCTCGAACTTGGGGTCCAACGAGCGTAGTATCTTCTCCATAATTCTAACATCTTCTAACTTTTCTCCGTTTCTTTTTAATTGATTGGAAACGGCTAAGACTTTTGAAAAATAATCAGAGATTGATTCAGACCCTTTCATTTGTAGAGATTCGAACTCACCTCTTAGTACTTGAAGACGAACCTTTTTCACTTGTTCGGCTCCTTTGTAAGAGGTTTGAAGCTTCTCCCATGCTTGCTTGGCAGAGGTTGCACTCGAGACTCTCCTTCTGGGGTTGGGACAGAGTAGCTTCATCTTCTGGCTCAGTGTAGCCTTTCTCCACGACTTCCCAGACATCATGTGCTCCCAAAAGGGCCTTCATTTTGATACTCCAATTATCGAAGTTGTTGTTGTCGAGCACTGGAACTTGGAAGGCTGCCATAGCGTTGCTAGCCATAGCTCTGGTACCACTTTGTTGGGACTTAAAAAGGCTTCACTACTTTGGAGATGTTTATCTCACAAAGAAGAATGAAATGCAGCGGAATTGATAAGCAAGAGAAAGAACACTCAAAGTGTTATACAAAATTTTTTTTATTCTCACACAAACTTAGTACAAGAGGAAACACTCAAACACTCTCACACTTCTTGCTCTCTTACTTGCTCTCACTTCTTCTTAGTTCTTACTTCACAACACACACACATACCTATATTTATAGGCATACTTTGCCGACTTCAATGATGCTAGAATTTTCTAGCATATTATTATACACACACAAGTTTACAATCAGCTAGACATTTCTAGCATGCACACCGACATTGTTTTTCATAATGTCCTCATAATTTTCTAGAACTTTCAAGTGCATGATTCATGCACATCCCACCGACTTACATAGCTGGAATTTTCCAGCTACTATTACCTACACAGATTGCTAGAATTTTCTAGCATTTGCACACATATTGACTTTGGGTTGGATCACTTGTCTTGGGCCTAAGACAAGATTACTATTCAACACTGTGTGTATGTTGAACTCCAGTTCATACGTGTGGAATCTTTAATGCGTTTTGAGGGCAGTTACCCATGATTTATGCAACTGAAGGGGTTTGAGGGTAGTTTAACAAAGTTTTTGCAATTTAAGTGGCTTTGCAGACAGCACTTTCACTTGTACATATGAATAATGGATTTGTAAACATTATAAGATACTGTCTTTTACTGCTTTTGTGATATGTGGTGCAGCATGAAAATTGAAAAATTATTCATATTGGAATTTTGATTTCTGATTAGTTTTAATATATGCCGGTTCTGTAGAAAATGTTTAACGGTGTTCAAGTGGATTTCTGGGCATATGTTGATTTTTCCCTATTGGACCAAAGTTTTAACTTCCGATTCTGTGAGGATTTGGTCCGTCCGTGCAACAGCAAGGGAGTGGTATGAATCTAATCCTTAACTTCCTCCTCTTTCTGCCTTGAATTGTTTTTTGTTGATTTCATAACCAAATTGTTTTCTTCCTAGCATTTCCATCCGCAACCTTTACTTCTGCATCAATCAGCTCATCCTGGGAAAATAGAGAGGGTGCTCGGAGATATCCATAAGATGTCTGGCAAGCAACTTGAAGAAGTTGGACAGAAGGGAAGGCATCTTCAGTTGTTAATTATCATTTTGCCTGATGTCACTGGATTATATGGTAAGCAGTAAATCTATGAACAAAAAGTGTCTTGTATTTCAAATTTTCAAGATATTCAAGCTTAAAATCTGTCATATTGATTCCTTGCAGAAAAGATGATAAAACGATTCCGGGAAAGTGAGTTAGGAGTCGTATCTCAGTGCTGTCAGCCTACAGCAGCATCGAGGCTCAGCAAACAATATTTAGAAAATTTGTCGCTCGAGATAAGTGAAGGTTCGTTTTTTATGTATTGTCCATTTGTCCTTCACATTACTTACTATCTTCCATGAGCATTGAAATATTGACACAACAGTTGAAACTGTTGTAGTTTGGTGGAAGGAACACTGTTGCCATTCGAAGAAGGATTCCTCTAGTTAGTGACATCCCCACAATCATCTTTGCTGCGGATGTTACCCATCCTCAACCTGGGAAGGACAGCAGTCTGTCAATTGCAGCTGTAAGTTCAATCGTCTATTTTGATTTGTTTTTAATTAAAATTCACAACGTGTTAACATGTTAATTTATTCCAACAGGTGGTGGCGTCAATAGATTGGCCACAGATAATCCAAGATCTTTATAGTGTAAACCAGGACCCTAACAATGGTCTTGTTGGAGGAGGAATGATCAGGTAATTGGGCCAACAATTGTTTTTTTTTTTTCCTTCAAGATAGTTGTGAGTACATTTTCTTATCATGATTATTTTAATTATGGTAGGGAGCATTTCAGAGCATTTCGACAAGAAACTGGCCGTAAACCAGAGAGAATTATCTTCTACATGTAAGAATTGTTTTCTGTGGCCAAGCAAAATGACACAACACTCTGCTAACATTTGTTTTGATGTTTTGCTTGACAGAGACGGAGTTAGTGAAGAACAATTTTGTCAAGTTCTGCTCTATGAAATGGATGCTATAAGAAAGGTACGCTAACTATTAGAATGCTAGGATTATTTTTTTAGCATAAGCAAATTTTTTAATACATTCGTTACTACTTTACCAGGCTTGTCAATTGCTGCAGGAGGGATATCTGCCACCTCTTACTTTTGTTGTGGCACAGACTGGTAAGAGTGGCAATTTTCAACCAGTTACAAATTTTAGATGCATTGAGATAATAGTAAATTTGATGCTTTTCCATTTTGCGCATTGAGTTATTGTAAATTTGATCTTTTTCCATTTTGCTCCTTAACTATCTTTACCTTGTATAGGCACGGTTGCTGACACCCAGTTTTGTCATCCAAGGGAGTTCAACTGTTATCTCAACAGCCATGCTAGCATTCAGGTATTATTTGTGTTGTTGATTTATACATGCCAACTTCGTTTTTGCGGTAGTTTGTGCTGATTTAGGGCTTTCAATTCTTGATATTATTTTTCTCATAAGGGAGGCAAATACATATACTACATACTTACAAGGTAAGAATATGCAATAATATTTACAATAATTCTACGGACTCAAACGGGTAACAAATCCCCCTAATTAGTATTACACACAAAAGTCAACTCACTCCAATAGCTTGTCCTCTTCTGAGCATGTATTCGTGCTCTCTTCACTGCTAAATATGAAATCTAAGTTGTTCTATAGTTTGAATTGCTATCTTTTGTTAACATGCCTACGCATTACAATGTCCTTAATGATGAAAACAAATTTTCCCCTGATTGCTTGCGAGTGGGAACAGACAACATATGTTACAAGTAATCATTTAATAATTTCAAGTTGTCTCTCTACCTTTTGCACTTGTGCGAGGAAGTTTGAAGATAACGATTTGTTTGCTGACTTTCTAATCGTATGTCATATAATTTTCCAATTATAAGGTAACCATTCTTATTCTTATCATAAGGCCTAATTATATCATGATGGGGGCAGATTCTCGATTCAGCATTAACAGTGAGACCTTCTTAATATCTCCAAAGATGTGTATTTTGAGCGAACATTCGGGCAATAGAGCTTCTATATGTGGGAACAAAGTTGAAGCTAGAAGGTTAGTTGATCATGCGGGTCCGAATGCATGCATAGGTAGGAAAACAACCCATAAGGGTATAATTAAAGCATGCAATCGATTCAACAAGGAGAAAATATGTATGGAAGGCTATACCATGCTTTCTTGCACAGGCACAAACGCATCTATGATCAACTATAGGGTGCAGGCAAATCTTGAAGACAAGTGTCCGAAAACATATGGATGTTGTGAATGAATTGTCAGTCATCGTGCTGTTGCACACTTGGATTTAGGCATATATGCCATAGGAACTAGACAACGCTTTGCAATTCATCAGTTGGCTCGTAGCTTATTGCATGACAAAGATAATATCTATTATCATAATTATCTCAGTATGTCATAGATGGTAGGTTCATACAATAATCCAGTTGAAGAAAAGACAGCCGAAGAAAGTGTACTCAATGCGTTTTTCATGGCGGCTTTAAGAGATCCGAGTGCAGGTCCCCCTTTTGAGGCCCATATGATTGCTAAGGAATGGCTAGTAAGAATACTCATATGCACCTTTACTGAAGCTTGCATCAGATTTGAGCACATTGCTACACAAATGCTTTATGACAAGAACCGTGTGTTCTTTTTCTATCCACATATATTCATTAGATTACTAAGTGGAGATGATGTATTTCCAATGCTACCCAAACAGAAGACTATGTGGATAGAAAAAGAACACACGGTTCTTGTCATAAAGCATCTATGTAGGAGTGTGCTCAAATCTGATGCAATCTTCAGTAAGGGTGCATATGACTCTTCTTACTAGCCTTTCCTTAGTAATCATATGGGCCTCAAAAGGGGGACTTGTACTCGGATCTCTTAAAGACGCCATGAAAACCGCCTCGAGTACACTTTCTTCGGCTGTCTTTTCTTCAACTGGTTTATTGTACGACCCTACTATCTATTACATACTAAGATAATTATGATAATAGATATTATTTTTGTCATGCGATAAGCTATGAGCCAACTGATGAATTGCAAAGCGTTGTCCAGTTCCTATGGCATATATGCCTAAATCCAAGTGTTCAACACCACGATGATTGACAATTCGTTCACAACATCCATATGTTTTCGGACACTTGTCTACATGATTTGCCTGCACCCTATAGTTGATCATAGATGTGTTTGTGCCTGTGCAAGTAAGCATAAAGAACCCTTCCATACTTATTTTCTCCTTGTTGAATCGATTGCATGCTTTAATTATACCCTTATGGATTATTTTCCTACCTATGCATGCATTTGGGCCACATGATCAACTAACCTTCTAGCTTCAACTTTGTTCCCACATTGCCTTAATGTTCACTCAAAATACACATCTTTGAAGATATTAAAAGGATCCCACTGTTAACGCTGAATCGAGAATCCGCCCCCATCATGATATAATTAGGCCTTATGATAAGAATAAGAGTGGTTCCCTTATAACTGAAAAATTATATGACATACAATTAGAAAGTCGGCAAACAAACTGTTATCTTCAAACTTCCTCGCACAAGTACAAAAGCTAGAGAGACGACTTGAAATTATATTAAATGCTTACTTGTAGCATATGTTATCTGTCCCACTTGCAATCAATTAGGGGAGAATTTGTTTTCATCATACAGGACATTGTAGTGCGCAGGCATGTTAACAAAAGATAGCAATTCAAACTATAGCACAACTTAGATTTCATATTTAGCAGTGAAGAGAGCACAAATACAAGCTCAAAAGAGGGCAAACCATTGGAGTGAGTTGACTTTTGTGTGTAATTATGGGGATTTGTTACCCATTTGAGTCCATAGAATTATGGGTAAATATTATTGCATATTCTTACCTTGTAAATCAAGTATGTAGTATATATATTTGCCTCCCTTATGAGAAAGATAATATCAAGAATTGAAAGCCCTAAATTAGCACAAAAAGGAAATTGGCATGTATAAATCAACAACACAAATAATACCTGAATGCTGGCATGGTTGTTGAGATGAAAGTTGAACTCCCTCGGATGACAAAACTGGGTGTTAGCAACAGTGCCTATACAAGGTAAAGATAGTTAAAGAGCAAAATGGAAAAAGATCAAATTTACAATAACTCAATGTGCAAAATGGAAAAGCATCAAATTTACTATTATCGCAATGCATCTAAAATTTGTAATTGGTTGAAAATTGCCACTCTTACCTGTCTGTGCCACAACAAACGTAAGAGGTGGTAGATATCCCTCCTGCAGCGATTGACAAGCCTGGTAAAGTAGTAACGAATGTATTAAAAATTTTGCTTATCCTAAAAAAAATAATTCTAGCATTCTAATAGTTAGCGTACCTTTCATATAGCACCCATTTCATACAACAGAACTTGACAAACATCAAAACAAATGTTAGCAGAGTGTTGTGTCATTTTGCTTGACCACAAAAAAAAGAAAAAAAAGAAAAAAACAATTCTTACACGTAGAAGATAATTCCGTCTGGTTTACGGCCAGTTTCTTGTCGAAATGCTATGAAATGCTCCCTACCATAATCATGATAAGAAAATGTACTCACAACTATCTTGAAGGAAAAAAAAAGAAACAATTGTTGGCCCAATTACCTGATCATTCCTCCTCCAACAAGACCATTGTTAGGGTCCTCGTTTACACTATAAAGATCTTGGATTATATGTGGCCAATCTATTGACGCCACCACCTGTTTGAATAAATTAACATGTTAACACACGTGAATTTTAATTAAAAACAAATCAAAATAGATGACTGAACTGACAGCTGCAATTGACAGACTGTTGTCCTTCCCAGGTTGAGGATGGGTAACATCCACAACAAAGATGATTGTGGGGATGTCACTAACAATAGGGAGGCCGGCCATGCTTAGAGAGGGAGTGTGTTTTGGATTTATTACAAATTTTTCACTCCAATGAAGGTAGGTATAAAGGTGACAAAGGAAATAAGACCCTCACATGGGTGATTAACCTTTGCTAAGCAAAGAGGTGCTTCAAATGTATAAAGAAATCTCAACTCTTTCTCTTAGATCTTGAGTTGAGTCTTGGTTCACCATAACTACTAGGCTTTGAATTTCATGGGTAAAATTTTGTTTTTGAGTGCATACAAGCATGATTCCGCCTTTAATTGTTAATTGCATGCATAGATGTTGCTCAAATGAACTTGGTTTTTCACAAATTTACCTTCAATTACTACTCAACATGGGATTCGTTGGTTTGTAGCATTCGTTGATAATTGCACCAGAATAACTTGGTTGTATATGAAAAATAAAAGTGATGTGGGTAGAATCTTCAAAATCTTTTATCACAAGGTTTACACACAATATTCGCTTCCCATTAAAGTTCTTTGGTTTGACAATTGTGGTGAGTATCTTAACCAGGATATGTCCCAGTTCTTCAAGGACAAGGGTATCCTTCATGAGACTACCTGTCCTCAAACCGCACAACAAAATGGAGTAGCCAAACGAAAAAATCAACACATACTTGAGATTACTTGTGCCTTTCTAATAAGTGCGTGTGCACCTAAGACATATTGGGCTGATGCAGTGACCTATGCTGTTTATCTTATGAACCGGTGCCATCGCTCGTTCTCTCTTTTAGAACTCATTTGGCCGTGCTTGCTGAACATGTTTTGCTCCCCTCCACCCTTCATCTAGAACCGTAAGTCTTTGGGTATGTTGCTTATG